ATATGAAAAAGTTAATTGATCGATTGGACCAGGTGCTAAAAAAAAAACGAAAAATATAATGAAAATCAGTTTATTTTCATAATATTTCTGTTAGCTTTTATAGTTTTGGATGTGAATACGAATGGTAGATTTCGGTGATTCCAATAAAAAAAAACCGAGAATCAAACCGAAGTCATTAAATTCATATCAAAAAATCTTCATTTTTGAAATAGAATATTTCAGTGCATATGTAGACTTAAAGTCTTCCCTTCTGAAGTCCTGTGATTTTACTTATAGGTTTTTGACTTGAAAAACATATTCCACATGGTCTAGCAAGTGTGTTTCATACATTCTCTCTGTGTAATCTCTTGTGATGAATTTTTTGTTTTTGTTCGTGCATCCTAGATTTCTCAGCTATTTTACATGGTAGAAAGTTTGGAAAGGTTTTAAATTGAAGAGAAAAACTGACACGAAAAATTAACAAAGAAGAATTTTAAAAAATTGAACTCTGGTAAGTTTTAGCGGCAAGTGTTGTATTACTCATGTGATTCATATCGAGCAAAAATCGCTGGCAATCAACGGACGATAGTGCCAACAAACATGTAGCATGAGTAGTTTCATTACAACTTTCTATACAATCGTCAACAACAATAACTGAAACATTGATCGATATATCTTCACGATCAGTCAATAAGATAAATGCAAAATTCAAAGATACAAATGATGAATCGATTAGATTACAATAATGGAAGAATCTCACTTGGGTAGTACTGCTTTACAATAGTTCATCTTAAAACTTAACAAAAATATGTTAAGATTATCGTTGATTTTAGTCAAATAATTGAATACAAAAAAAATTCAACAAATTTTTTCAAATATTCATACCATCTTCATGTGTTTGTACTAAATCAGCTTCACGTATTGGTCCATCACCATTAATATTAAATATATTAATCATAATTTTATAAATAGTAAAAGGCATAAGATTATCCAAAATTATATTTGATTCATTATATGATGTAATTAAACTTTTTTCTTTATTTGTTTCATTAGCTGCTATCCATCGTATTCGATAACTTGTCGATGGTAATATTTGATTTATATTCCATTGAATTAATATTTCTGTTGAACTTAAAACATTAACATTTAATGAATTAATTGATATATGAGTTGGTGCAGGTGATTGTATATGAAAATAATATGCAAATGAAAGTGGACCATCACCAATTGTATTACTCAAACAAACATATAAAACATGAGTATCATTCATATTTGAATCTTTACATAGATTATTCAAATGTATAGAATAATTTTCATTAATTGAATGATAACTTTTTTGAAATATTTGTTCATTAGAAATTGATTTCATTAAAACTTTTAAACGAGTATTATTATTATTATTATTATTATCAATTGAATCAAAATCCTTTAATAAGAAAAAAAAAAGATCTCAGAAAACTCAATAGATATTAAATTCAAAAATGAAAATCGGTTTAATAGTTTACTTTAAGATAAATATCAATTTGACACGGTTGATTTGTTGATATATAATCAATTGTTGGTTGAAACAATGGTACTAAATAAAATTAGAAATAGAACAAAATTATAAACACATGTACTTCAAACTGAACAAAAGCTGCTAGTAGAGCGTTCGATATAAAGTGCACTATACCGGCGCTAGTTTTATACTATAATGATCAGCTATCTTCTGACCACTATTGTATAGGAACTACCGGGATTTATTGATTTTATATAAACCATCGGATAGTTAGGCCCATCCCGAACTCGAAAGAAACTTAGTTTATAAAGGTTTTTTTCTCAATAGACAGCTATTCCATATTTTTCGGCGCTTATGAAAAATGATGGCCAAGGGAGGGGGGGGGGAGGGTAGCATGGAGAAGCTGCCTCCTTAGTGGAACCCAAATCTCAGAAAAAGGATAAAATCGTCCGACCGGGCGGCTCGTTCCGAGGTCTGGTGTGTAACGTAGGTGTTTTCTTTTGTTATTCTTACCGCTTTCTTTTGTTCGAACATAATTCGTTGCACGACTATAATCACTTATACCCATATCATTTTGTGATGCTAATCGAAAACGATATTTTGTGTTTGGTTTTAAGCTAGAAAAAAAAAAAATATATATATTTTTTTTTTGATATTTAAATTTGAAACAAAAAAATATCTTTTACTTTCGAATAAGTAATTTTGTTATTTGTCCGTCAGGTTTATTAATTAGATCATAGGATTTCCATAATGTTATATGTTCTTCTTCATATTCAATTAATGTATATCGTATTGGTGCATAATTAAAATCTGAATCTTTACGCCATGTTAATATTAAACTTGTTGAATTAATTGAAGATTCAATTATTGTTGGTGGATATGGAGCAGCAGGTCGATCTAAAAGAATTTTTTTCATACAGAAAAAAATTTTTGTTTTTGTTTTTTTTATTTTCTACCTCGTTTTTCCATTGTTAATAAACGATTGATACTTGTTTCACCACAACCAATTCGAGTTTTTGCACAAAGAATAAAAGTATATGGAGTTGTTTTTTCCAAATCTGAATTAAATTTTATATTCGAAATAAAGATAGTTAGGTATAATAAACGAAAAAAGCAGATTAGAAAAAAAAAATTTGCTACTTTAAAATGAAATATTTCCAAATTT